CAGGCCCGCAGCACAGGGCGAGGGGAGTGCACGGTGGGGGGGGAGGGCACAGGCCCTGCTTGCCTGATGCCCTGGGGCTATTTGGCCTGCCACTCCCCAGCACAGAGCCATATGGAGGGTCGGGCACCACCATGGGGACTCTGGAAGGGTCCAAGACCAGGCCAAGGGTGGCCCCTCTGCAACCCTGTCCGCCCCAGCCCTCTGCCGCATCGGGGCTGGCCATGGCCTCAGGAGGAGGGCAGGAGCCAGGGCAGCACCAGGGTCCCCATCCCCAGGACCTCCCCCTCCACAGCGGGGACACCAGGGACGGCACTGCCTGGCCTCCCGTGCTCTGCTTCAGAGAAGGGAGACGGCAGCTCCCAACAGCCTTGGGACAGCTGCAGCAAGGGTAAAGCACGGATCCTCACGGCTCCTTACAGATCCCCACGGATCCCCTAAGCACAACCAGCGGAGACGCTCTGGGCTGCAGGGCTGAGCTGCCTGATGCCCCAGGGGCTGTGTGCTGCAGCCCAGCAACTCCATCGAGCAGGTCCTGGGCACCATTCCCTGCTCAGCAGCCACTGCACCGAGGTGGGGCTCTTGGAGCGGTATGAAAACCTGCCCACGGGCATGTGGCTGCACCTACTGCACTGTCCTGCTGCACCAGCCCCGCACAGGCACCGTCACCCACGTGGCACTGACCTGGTCCAGGACCATCTTCTTCACAGCCACGACTTTTGTGGTCCCCGGGATGAGCTGATCCAGGATCCTGTACCAGCCGCCCACGACAGGGCCCTGCAGGAGCTGGGTGGTGAGGGGCAGCGTCCCGCTCTCCCGGGCCATGGGGTGTCAGGGCTGGGGGGGTCTCCAGAGCTGGTTACATGGCCCTGCCCCTGCCCTGGGACACAGGGACTGGGGCCTGTCCTGCCTCCCCTCCTGAACTGTGCTGCTCCCTCACTGGGCCCCACACTGCTGTGGGGCAGCCCCCCCGCATGGGGTGGATGCAGGAATGTCTGCAGCCCCCCCTGCCCCTCCTAGAGCACTCCGCCAGGCAGTACCAGCACCAGCACAGGGCAGCCAAGGGCCTGCTCCAGCGGGGTGGCCGCAGGGCTTCATGCCTAACACACTGGGCAGGGCTCCATGGCGGTGGGACCCTGGCTGTGCCAGCGCCGCCCAGGGCCCTCCCTGCCTCAGCCACCAGTTCAGGGCACTGGGCCCAACACCCCCACCCC